GCTTCTTTGTAGGTAACAGATTGCTTTTCTCTTGCTGCCTTTAAGATACTCTCGATTCCACTCCTAGGAATGTATCCTAAGAATCCTGAAACACTAATCAGAAAGAATATATATACCTCAATGNCCCTCTGGCATTCCTATAATGTGAATATTGTTACATTTCATGTTGTCCTACAACATGAAAACTGTCCTGTTTTCTAATTTTTTTCTTTTTGGACCTCTGATTGAGTGATTTTTTTCTACCTTATCTTCTAATTTGCTGATCTGATNGCCCTTTGGGACAGTATGGATGGACCTAGAGAAAAATATGCTAAGTGAAGTAAGCCAGGCAGAGAAAGAAAAACATCACATGATCTCACTTATATGTGGAATCTAAAGAACTTAATAAACAGATGAACAGAATAAATTCAACGACATGGAAGCATAGATGAGACTGATGAATGTCAGAGGGATGGAGGAGGGTGGGTGGGTGGAGGGGGAGAAAGTAACCAAAGACTTTATATGTATATATATACACAACCCAAGGACACAGGCAATGGTGGGGAGAGGGACTGGGGAGGGGGATGCGATGGGATGGAACAGGTCATTGGGGAGAAAAAGGGACATCTGTAATATTTTAAACAAACAAAAAAAAATTTCTCTCTTTGTCTTGAATTTTTGGCATTTTAATTATGATGTGCCTGGGCATAGGCCTCTTTGGGTTCTTCTTGCTTGGGACTCTCTATGCCTCCTGAACTCATGTGACTTTTTCCTTCATCAGGTTAGGGAAGTTTTCTGCCATTATTTCTTCAAACAGGTTCTCTAACCCTTGCTTACTTTTGACACCCTCTGGCATTCCTATAATGTGAATATTGTTACATTTCATGTTGTCCTACAACATGAAAACTGTCCTGTTTTCTAATTTTTTTCTTTTTGGACCTCTGATTGAGTGATTTTTTTCTACCTTATCTTCTAATTTGCTGATCTGATCCTCAGCTTCCCCTAGCCTGCTGTTTATTCCTTCCAATGTTTTTTTTTTTTTTTGTTTCTTCTTTATCATTCTTAATTTCCTTCATAGTTTCCATTTCTTTTCTCATGATGTTGAGAATCCTTATGGTCAGTATTCTGAACTCGATGTCTGATAGATTGCTTATCTCCATTTCATTTATCTCTTCTTCTGGGGAATTCTTTGTTCTTTCATTTGGGGCTTGTTTTTTTGTCTCCCCATTTTGGCTGCCTGTTTGGATTTGTTTCTATGTATTAGGTAGATCTGCTATGACTCTTAGTCTTTTGGATGGTCTCTGGTGCAGGTCAATGGCAGAAACTGTGGCTGGCCTTGAGTACCCTGTTTGAAGTTTTCTACACTCCACAGCTTGTGGTTCCCTCTACTAGGGCTGGGTGTGTTTGGACAGGACCAAAATGCACACCAAGGTGTGCTTTTTCCAAGCCCTGGGTCCAAAAGCAAATCAGGCCAGTATCATTAAGTATTAATGCAAATTTCTAAGATGTCTTTTTCAGAGGGATCTCAGGCAACTTCTCTTGCTAGCAACTCCCCACTTGCCCACCTTCTAACTAGTCCTATTAACCCGGCAATGTCAAGAAAGAAGGAGAGATGAGTTTCAGGAGGAGGAAGGCTTGCTTTCTATCTTATCAGATCTTAGTAAAAAATATTTCAAAATTCTTACAAGAGGGTGAGTAGCTCCCTCTCAGCTTTTCTCCACCAGAGGAATTAAATGGGAGGTGGTCTCCAAAATATGGAATGTTAAATCAATGAGGCAGGAGAGGAAATAAAATACAATTTATATTTTAAGAAAGTAATTAAAAACTACCCAACAAAGATTTTTCTTCCAATGTATAAATCCACCCAATTGAACAAAAGCATTTATATTAAAAATTATAGTTGAAAATGGAACTTGGGAAATATATACTGCTAAGGAAAATGTGGATAAAAATGAGCTCTCTCAACTTCACCACTTCCCCATATCCTAAATATCTTAATTTTGTTAAAGACTGAAACATAATTTTTTTTAAATCCTCATCTGAGGATTTTTTTTTCCCATTGCTTTTCAGAGAGAGTGGAAGGGCTGTCTC